AAAAAACATAAACATAAAGTAACTTACGGGTGAGCGAACACCGCGCCAGAGGTTCAGACAGAACACAGACATACATAAAGAACATAAAGTAACTTACGGGTGAGCGAACACCGCGCCAGAGGTTCAGACAGAACACAAACATACATATAACGTAGATTACAGGTGTGCTAATACAGTAACTAAGGCACCTCCAACTATAAGAAAAATAAAAAATTACTATAGGCATGACTGATATAAGATAGTACTGATGATAGGAAGAACACTCCTTCCAGCCTTTGCTTAGAAAGCAAATCCTGAAAGGCAGCAGAACATGGAACAGGTTGCACTGGGTTACATGTTACCAGTAGCAGAATGATCATGAAGACCATACTCCTGACCTGACACTATACTATATATATTGGTCTTTAAGTAAAATTGATTATTAAATGTTGTTCAATGATGTTCACTACACTATATATATTGGTTGTTCACTGTTCTATATATATTGGTTACTCACTATATATATTGGTTGTTCTATACTATATATACTCACTATATATATTGATTGTTCACTTGTTGCACTATATATATTGGTTGTTCACTATATAAATGTTGTTCACTACACTATATATATTGGTCTTTAAGTAAAATTGATTATTAAATGTTGTTCAATGCATCAATAAATAAGAGTAACCTTAAATGTAGTAGGCACAACACTTTGGTAAGATGACATACATACATACATACATACATACATACATACATACATACATACATACATACATACATACATACATACATACATACATACATACATACATACATACATACATTATACATTCAACAAACCAAAGATTTTTATATTTAAACAATTCAAATTAGTATTAAAAAGTTGTAATACTAAAATAAGTTTTTAAAGTTGCTCTTGGTCTTGCGGAAAAACTGTTTTTGATTTGATAACTTTAATAAATGTTATAAAAAATCATTCAGGAAGAGTGCTACCAGTTTTTTAAAGTTAAAAGTTGAAGCAAGTTTTTTACCTAGCTTTCCATGTAACATAAGTTAAGTAGCATTTTTAGTAATAAGTTCACCCTTATTCAAAATCCATAAGACACAGCAAGCCTTAGGTTATTACAGAAGAGAGATCAGATTTAAACTTTGGTGCTTGTTCTAAGCAATTAAAAAGTGAAGATTTATTGTCAAGACAAGAGTATAAAGTGGAGTCATCAGCAAATAGAGCTACTTTAGATTTAATTATGATAGTTATTGTAGATTAAAAAATATTACAGGAACAAATATAGAATTGAGAATTAGTTTTAGTATTGGAAGCTAGAGTAATTTCGATGTTTAACAATGGGTTAAGACTTTATTTATACATTAGCTTATTGCAATAATAAAAAGGACAATTTTTTCTTGAGAGAGATGTTCTTATAAAAAAGCTGAAAAACGTAGTTAATGTTGAAATATGTAGAGTAGAATAAGGCTTGATTTAAAACTGAAGATAAGTAATCAAAGCTTCCAAACTTTTATTCCAGAAGCAATATAAGCTTCCAAGTTGCACTTTTTGTACACATATTATGGATATAAGCATATTTGTTTGCTATTTGTTTAGATGCTGGCATACAATATCCTTTTATTGTTGTATAAACTTTAGTATTTATATAGTGTAGTATTTGCCGAAAGAGAAAATGATTAGATGGATGTGTGGTGTGACTCTAACAAGATATAAAATATAGGCATAATCTTTGACAGATTAGAAAAAACGTTGTATCAAACAACCTTTTTTTTTAGAAAAAGTTAAAGTAGTTCAGGTATTAACATGTAGAGTGGTAGCAGATTCAGTATAAAATGGTTGTGGTAGATGTAAGAAAATTTGAAGAGTGTGCCTTACTTAGTGTCATAATAAAGATGATGATGATTATCATGATGACGATCAACAACATCAACATAGTTTTTATTATCATTGTCAAGCTTTCCGCTTTTATGCTGTTGATGATGATGATGATTATGATGATGATGATGATGATGATGATGATGATGATGATGATGATGATGATGATGATGATGATGATGATGATGATGATCATATTGATGATGTTCATATATGCATATATATACAAAATATAGCATGAACTTTAAATTTAAAAAATATACTTTAGGATGTATAAATGTTTATGCAGCCTGGTCTTAAACCTGGCCCTGGCCCCGGGTATATTTTATCAAACCCGTCCCTGGCCCCAGTCAGTTGTTTACTACAAAACATTTCAAGAATAAAAAACGTTGTGTTATTTTTTAAAACAATTACTTATTTTATGCTATTACGACAATCGCAATATATATACATATATATACATATATATACATATATATACATATATATATATATATATATATATATATATATATATATATATATATATATATATATATATATATATATATATATATTTATATATATATATATATCCATATATATATATATATATATGTATATATATATACATATATATATATATATATATATATATATATATATATATATATATATATATATATATATATATATATATATATATATATATAATTATATAATTTATATATATAATTATATAATTTATATATATATATATAATTTATATATATATATTTTATATATATATATATAATTTATATATATATATATATATGATTTATATATATATATATAATTTATATATATATATAATTTATATATATATATATATATATATATATATATATATATATATATATATATATATATATTTATTTTTACTTTTTAAATTTAATAATAATCATACTAATTCAATAACATTTTTTAAACATTTGCTTTCAGATTGATAATGATACAAGTTTTATTTTTTGATTTAGATTCTGTATCTCAATGATATCCTGACTTATCGATACGATATCCTGTAAATCCACTCACACACATAAATTTTACTCACACTCGTAAATCCTGTAAATTCACTCACACACATAAATCTTAAAAAAGATGTTTATATTTTTGTCTATAAATTGTAAATTTTATATAAATAAATTGTATATTTTTTAAGTTTTTCATTGTATACTACTATTTGTATTAAAAATCGACTTTGGAAATATTGCAAGTAATAGTGCAGAGTTCAACATACAGTTTTGTTTTATTTGCAAATTCAATATACATTATAACCAAGTTTAATCACGTTTAATAATATTTTGCGATATTTTCTCCAGCGCATTTGAGCGTTGATTTAACGTTATATTTCAACCTTTACTCGACGTCTTTGAGTCACGTTAAATCGACGTTTTACTACCAACGTTACAAATCCTGGCAAATTCAACTGCTTTTCTAACGCTTCTAAAATCTAACGCTTTTCAAGTAACGTTTTTTCAACGTTAAGTTGTGGCGCCTATGCAACGCTTTTTAAGTAACGCTTTTTCAACGTTTAGTTGAGACATTTTTGTAACGTCTTTTAGTAACGTTTTTTCAACGTTACGCTACAACGTTTAATCAACGTCTCTTTAACAACGTCACATATCATTGCAAAATCGATTACTTTGTCAACGTTTCCGCAACATCTTTTGCGACCGGTTTTCAACGTTGATTCAACGCTGACATGTTTGCTGGGCCTTTTCATTGCGGCAAATTATTTTTGTAATGGCTAGTTATTGAGACAATAATTTTTAGTGTGCCACTTCCTCAACATTTTCAAAACAACGTTTTATTAACGTTGGCAAAGTAACACTTTTTAAACGTTTTTTAATTACCACATTTTCAACCAACATTGAAATAACGTTGAATAAGCGTTGTTTTTCAAATATTTTAAATTTGTTGAAAAAGCAGCTAATGTCTAACGTTGATAAACAATTACCATTGCGACGTTTTTACAGTGATTATTAGCGTACTTTTTTTAAATATTTAATAAACGCATTTTTTTGAGAAGATAAGATACGTTTAAATTTATACGCTTATTCAACGTTGAAAATGTAACGTTTAAAAAGCGGTTTGTTTTTAACGTTGATAAAGAATATACTTCGAAACGTTTTTAAAGTGGCTTTTTGCGTAAGTTGATTACACGTTGAATAAACGTTTTTTTTTGAAAGGCTAAATTACGTTACAGTTTCAACGCTTATTCAACGTTTCAATTTACCGCGATTTAGTATACAAAAACAGACATTGATTTAACGTTGAAAGCACGTTGTTTTTGTGACTGTAACGCTTTTTCTACGCTGCGACTGGTTTTCAACGTTGATTCTACGCATACATGTTTGCTGGGTTTGCTTTGTCTAATAGTTTTGCATAATAACGCTTTTTATAGTTTCTTTTTGCTTTTTCGAATATCTTTTTATAGTTTTTATATGTCATTTTATGTTTTTATCGTTTAGTTTTTGTTTTCTTATTGAGGATTTTAGTGACCCATTAGACATCCATGGATTCATAACTGTTTTTGTATTTACTATCTTTTTTTCTTCAGGAAACGCTGTTTCGTATTGCTTGTAGAATTGACTTAGAAATAGATCATATGAGTTGTTAGCATCGTTTAATTGCAACACCAGATTCCAATCAACGTTGTTTATTATAAAGTTTTGAATCTGTTTTATGGAGTTTTCATTGATCTGTTGCCAACCCAGCAAATTTGCCATGCTTGGCCGATGTATAGCCCATCATCGGCGTCATTACTGACCCACCATCGGCCGACAAGCATAGTCCAACTTAAGTCTTGCTCACCATTTAAAGCATGGTCCTTGCAAGGCAGCCGTTTTTTGAACGGCGTTTAGCTGTTGCTTTGCCATTGCTTTTTTTTATGCTCCTCTTTGGTTCATTTAGTTTTTTTAGCATTTATCACTATTTTTATAAATAACAAATACTTAAATAAACAAAAGATTTAAACTTAAAAATTTTTAAGTAAAACAAGTCAGGAATAAAAAAATGAAGCGGAGTGATGTTTGCCTACCTAAAAAAGTCGTATGGGTGATATATAATGGAATATCGGATATTTTAAACAATAAATACACAGTCATTTTTGCAATAAGTTTAATATTATCAAATATTTTTATTTCAATGCAATACAATACATATAAAAGTTTATGGTTAGCGTACGGATATGGTAGCGTAAGTTTATGGTTAAACTTCAATTTGATGCTTGCACGATCTAACATTTGGTACATCTCGATATCCATATATATCTGTCTGTCAGATTGCACCTGATAGATTTAGTAATTAAAACCAAGTCACCCTAAAAAAAGTGAAGAAATTGTAAAATAAGAAAAAATTTGTAACTACAACGAAAAACTCAGCATCTGTGTAGTATACACATGCTGAGTTTTTTTGTAATTGTTTTCTTTTATTTTTTATATCAATTTCTATATCAATGAAGTTTCTTGGGATGCCATATAAAAAAAGTACCTAACGCTGTTTATCCAATACATCACAAGTCATTAACTCTATGATAAGATTAGATAATCCTGTTGTTTCACAAAATACTCTCAATGAAATACTACATATATGTATTGCATTAGCCATCGCTCTATGGACCTCTCGACACCTGCATTACTTGGTCCTTTTTCAAGTTTTCGAACTGCAACTTGTAATTTAAAACAAGATATTTATATGTGATCCACTTAATTACCACAAAACAATTGTCTATTAATTTACTTACTGTTGATTATGCCAGAAATTTATTTTAACTATAAGAGAGTGCTGCTACATTGACTACCTTATAGCCTGCTGTTACAAGGAAATGCTTTGACATCGACAATAAAAAAAAATAAAAAGTATATTAAAATATTCCTTAAATTTATTTAAAAAGTCACCACTTTGAGCAAATATCACAACAAGCAAAAAAATAAAATTCTTTTATGCCGCTTAACTGCATATTATTCCATTTATATAAGTAAATGATATAAATAAAATTATGCTTATGTATTTATGTATAATATATAACTATATAAATACATTTCATGCGGCCGTGGCGCATGAGTTAGAGCGCTTGCTTTATAAGCAGGAGATCCAGGTTCAAAACGAGCTCTGGATATACTTTCGCGTCACGATAAGGAAGGAGGCGTGAACTTCCTGGTTAAATGCACTTCCGTGGTACTCTGAGACAAGACTGTTTGGTCTTCTTGGGGCACCTAAATAACATAATAAATAAATAAATAAATAAAAGTTACTATAAATGATATAAATTTAAAACAAATAATAAAAATATGAATGATTTGAGATCCTTAAATCAACTATTAGTATGACATTAACAAATCATAGGTTATACCTCGTTGAAATATAACATTTGCTGAATGTTATAATCTATGAGAATATTCATTATTATTAATAATATCAAATAGTATAACCTATGATAGTAAAATCTATATAGTGTAGTATAACTAATGACACTATATTACATAATATCATAATATTTGATTTGATTTTAAAAGTAAGTAAATGTTTTTTGAGGATCTCGAATCATTTATACTTTATAACATGAAGTATAAATGATTTGAGATTCTCAAATTATTTAAATGAGATCCTCAAAATATTTAAATGAGATCCTCAAAACATTTAAATGATTTGAGATCCTCAAATCATTTAAATGAGATCCTCAAAACATTTAAATGATTTGAGATCCTCAAATCATTTAAATAAAATCCTCAAAACATTTAAATGATTTGAGATCCTCAAATCATTTATACTTCAAGTATAAATGACATTCGCTTATTTTTAAAATAAAATCAAATATTATGATATTATGTAATATATTGTCATAAGTTATATATAAATTATATTATTAATTTTATATAAAATAAATAAAGTATAAATGATTCGATACCTCAAAAAACATTTATTTACTTTTTAAATAAAAACTCGTAAATGAATTCCAATGAAATTATAACAAATAAAAATCAAAAAAAAAGTAATAAGGAAACTGACACTTGTAAAAAAGTTGAAGATTTTTATCGTTATTTTAAATTTTTATTTTTTAATTCTTTACTAATTTTTTTAATCTTTTATTTTTATTTTTAATCTTTTAATTTTATTTTAAAACTTTTTGAAAAAATAACGCATGCGCTAACTCAAAATTTTTTTTTTAATTAGAAACATGGTTTAAGTCCATGTTTGTAATTGAAAAATTTTTTTTTTTCAATTACAAACATAGAACAAGATTGGCATGATCAGCCAATCGTAAAAGGAGCAAAGTCTTGCACTTCGCCTAAAAACATTCATTCAACTGAAAGAATGCGGAGAGTATAAAAATCACGATAACTAATACTTTTCAAAGCACTGGTTAGAAAGTTCACTTATAAAGTTTACAAACCAAAACCAAAGCTAAAACTTTTTAAAACAGATCAATTTTCCAAAACACTGGGACAACAAAATTTCTCAATACTACAAAACAACAATTGAAATATTAAGCAAAAACGGGTCTCTTTTTAACATCCCCTTAAAATCAACAAAAATAAAAAGACAGTCATGCAAGCAGAAATTTTCTGGAAAGGTTCAACAAAAGCAACAATGCCGTGGACCCAAAGTTGGAAAAAAAACTTTACCTCCCACGCATGAGGACCGGCACAAAATATCCTCTTTCGATTTTTACACAATATTTTACCTTCTACGGCCTTGCTAGCCAAAAGCACAAGGCAATAGATTGTAAAAAACAACAAATGCAAAACTTACGGTAAAATTGAGGACAACATCCACATATTTGTCTACTGTCCTCCTTCTGTTGAAATATGGGAGTATTTTAAACATATATATAGTTCCTTGACACCCAAAAAATTGTTCTCCATTGGCAGTGATCACGGTTAATAATCAGGAACACCAGAAATATTATTACTTTAAAATATAATTATCATGTCCGTAGAAACACTGAGGACATTTTCTGTCAACTTTTTTGTATTAGTAATGTATTTTGCCAAGTAGAGAATGGAAAACTAAAACTAAACATATGAGCTAAATTAATACACTGGCTCATAATTCAGAACTGAATATTTAGTAAAGATCTTCTGTTCTCTGCAATTCTTTATTTACAAAAAAAATACTGTTATTTATGATTAGACAATCACTGCCAGCCCTTATTTTATGATATATAAGTTTAACATATAAGTGTTAAATGTAGAGATTGTAAAGTGACATTTGTGCAAAAGTCCTTTAATTTTCTTTTTTACCTATTTATTTTTTCTTTAATAAAATCTTTCTTTTCAAAATAGTCTAATCTAATATTGAACATTATCTTTAACTATAAAATTTCTTTTAAACCTTACCTAATTTTTTGACATCATTCCGCACAATGGCTAAAAATTGAAAAAAATATATATATATATATATATATATATATATATATATATATATATATATATATATATATATATATATATATATATATATATATATATATATATATATATATATATATATAGATATATATATATATATATATATATATATATATATATATATATATATATATATATATATATATATATATATATATATATATATATATATATATATATATATATATATATATATATATATATATATAACCAAAAAACACCAAAAAATATAAAACTTAAAAACACAAAAAAAATTAAAAAAACACAAAAAAATAAAAATAAAATAAATAAAATGTATATAAATAAAAATATAAATAAAAACAGTTGTTCACTTTCTATATTGTATATTTATATAAACATTTGTAACCATAATATTATGTTAACCTGAGATAGTATAATTTTATAAAATTGTAAATAATTATTGTTTTATAAAGAAAACAAAAAATAACAAAAAAAAAAACAGTATTACAATAATATTAATATAATATTACAATAACATTAATATATTACAATTTATAAAATAATAAATCACCTACACAACAAAATTGCAAAAAAGTATTGGAATTCTTTATAAATTAAATAGCATTTTAATGAGACATACTTTAATTTAACTATATTGCTTTTGATTCGCTGTCAAATTAGTTACGGCAATTTTGTCTGGGGGAGTGCCTTGAAAAGTATGTCAAAGCCTCTACATTGTCGGCATACACTGTTACGGAAAAAGGTGTTTATGTTAAAGAGAAAAGGTGCAGATGCATGATACTATGTGAACACCAGATGCATGATACTATGTGAACACCATTAATACCTAATAGGTGTTGTGTTTAAAAGGTGTTCATGCAAGTTGTTTAATGTTACATTAACACCCTAAAAGGTGTTCATAAAGTTGTTTATGTTACATTAACACCCAACTGTTTGAATAACGCGTTTGTGACACAAATATTTAAATGTTCAACAGTAAACATGATCTTCTTAACCTTTCTGTTTACTCATGATTGTTACATGATTGGCACGTTTTTAATAAGATTTTAAAAAACCTAAAGTTTTTTGAAAGGACTGTTCCAAGAGCACACATATATTTTAAAAAACAACTTTTTAATATAAATTTTATATTACATACCCAAGTAGCAAACAATATTGGTGCAATATTATAAACTATATCGCGCCAATATTGCAATGTGAACATTTTGCCAATATTGCCACTACAATATTGCGCCAATATTGTTAAGTTAATATTAACCAATATTGGCAAAATGTTCACATTGTGATAATGTTTGAAATATTGCGCCAATATTGTAAATAATATATTATTTACATATTAATTACATTATATTATTTACATACGCGATATTAATATCGCGCTAATAATGGGGATATAATACTGGCGTAATATAGTTTACAATATTATCCCAATATATATAACTATACTAAGCCAATGTATTGTGTATTTTTGATTAAATTTTTATTATTAAAAAATAATAAAAAATATTTTCTACAAATTTTTAATAATTAAAGTTTATAACAGTTTTCTTGTTTAAATGATATTATAGTACCAGGCTGCATTATTCTTTTGAGTTAAACAGGTTAAAGTTTAATAGAACACGCTTATACTCTCACTATCAGATATTGGGCATTAACGTTCATTATTTTGCCCATACTAATTTCATTGCTCAATATTGGGCGTTGCTTAGTTATGGTTCTATTTTTTCTTCCGTGTCTTTGTTTTATAACTTTTCTTCGAGGTTTAGAAGATCTTTTTTCCTCTTTAAATGGCAAATAAATTCAATAAACTGAAAGAGATGGTCAAGCAAAGCTCTGATGGAAACACTTAACCCTAAAATACTAAAGATTTCTTCAATCTGTTTCATAACTGTCAAAAAAAAAATTAAAAAAAGATGAAACCATACTAAACAATAAACAGTATTTGACTCAAATATAACTGTTTAGATCATTAGCATCTTGCACATGTGTAAATTAAAACAAAACAAACAAAAACAATATTGAAAAGAAGACAACTACCAAAATAATAAAAAAATATTTTTTTCAGTTACTTTTAGAGGCGTGACTTCACGTATGGCAGCCTAAAAGCAAGATGCTTGCATCTTTCTTTTAGGCTGCCATACATGAAGCCTTTTTATATTACTTTGTAAAAAAAAGTTTATTTAATTTTTGTTTAGATGAAGTTGCTTTAGAGAGGATCAGTCAGTTATATCTCTATTATATGATTTAATAATTTAGTATTTAGTCATTTACTATTACCTTCACTTACTGTGACAGAGACAAGTGCTGTTGCAAGTGTTGTGACTTGCATAATTTATATAGCGAGTATTATTATTTGTTAAATTTTTTGATAGACGGCTCTGGCTTACCTTTATGTGGTTTCTATCATTAAAAATGATTAAAATATAATTTCATTACTGGAATTAAAGCCAAGACAAAAATATATTAAATTATCTTTAAAATAATTAAAGATTATTTTTTTTTAAATTTTAACCATACTGTATGGTCCTTACTTCTGTTAATGTAATCATCACATAAAAAAACTTTAATATAGGTATTTGATATACTTGGTTATAAAGATGACATGTTTTTTACAGCCAATTGACTTATAATTTGAGCCCCACAATTGTAATTGTATAATTTTTTTAGTAATATATAACGAATTAATTAATAATTTTTGGTTAGAGGGGGAAGGGGAATTAGAATGCCCCCTCCCTTATGACATACTTGGATAGGCCCTCCCTTATACTCCACTCTCTTATGACCATGGACGAATTACTAATGTACTTTTTAATCTAGTGGAATATATTCTTTACTTCTTTGCTTTTGTATTTTAAATACTCAATCAGATATTTCAAGAATTGAAACATTTTTTGATATTATAGTACTAAAACATCAACATATCTACTTTCAGTTTAACATTCATCTCCCATATTTGGTGGTTGTCTGGTATGAATTTATTTTTTAAATTATTTCCAATTTCATAATTTTTTTTTTTAATTTATTATACAAATTTCAAAAACAGTAGTTGCATTTTTTTTTAGGTTGGAGGGGAGGGATCATATGCCCTTTCCGTAATAGAAACACCACTTGTATACATAAGATCTTGTATAACATAATTTTATATTGTATACTAATTTTACTCATTTAAGTAAAGATATAAATATTTATAAAATCAAGTCGTTTTTGATACTAGGATATATCAAACCATCACCACTACACCCACCTCTATTGCTAACATACACCTCTCATATATTTTGGTTTAGTATAAATTTAAAACAACTTTTTTGTATATTTATATTGCTTATGTCTTAAAAAAAAAACTTTTTTTCTAAAGTGTTCAGTTCCATACCGGCAAGGTTGTGGTTTGGCGCCCCTCTGTCCGTCTGATATAGCCGGTGGTTAGAGTTTAACATAAAGTTGTGGCCCACTCTTACACCTATCTTTTGACACCAAGATAATAGTATTTTGATAAGAATTGACAAAGTTACGACAATTTAGGTGAAGAAAAACATTATTTTGACCACAGTTTCTTCAAAAAACCCATATATAGAAAAATCGGTACTTAAATCGTTATAACTTTTGAACCATTTGTTCGATTTTGATAATTTTTCACCTTTAAAATACTGTAATAATCCTCTTTCTAATGATATATAACATTATAGTATTCAAACAATTTGAAATTTTTACTTACTTTATTATTAGGTGTCAAGCAGAGGTACTTTTTTTTGAAATTAAAACTTTATAACAGTTAGAAACAATAATAATGATGTATTTATTTCTTAAATGAATATCTTTAACAATATACCGGTTTTTACATCCATTTAAAACAATCATGAGAACCATTTAAAACAACCGTGACATTCATTTAAAACACCGCAACAATCAATTAAAACAATGTGATTTTCAATTAAAACATTTAACGCATGCATCTCAACATTCTATACTATTTAAAAAAAAAGGTTTTCTTTATATTTTTTTTTTCGATTTTTTTTTTAAATTTAAATTTTCATTTTATTTAAAACATAATGTTTATTTTCCAATTACTGTCGAGGTATGTCATCTGACCTAAGACACGCTTCAAAAAAGCTTTCGCAGTGTGTGCAATAGTTTGATAAGTTAACATTAGGAATAGATAAGCATGCCTCATGCATTCTTGAAATTAGTTTATTTCTTCCAGCTGGGACCATATTTCTTCACACGTTATTCTTAAGATAAAAAAAAAACTCTTCACACGGATTCAAGAATGGTGAATATGGTGACAAATATTTTATTTGAATGTTCTGAGCCCTCATCTCAACATTGTGATGGATTCTGACATTATCCATCACAAGGGTGAATTCTTCCTCTGTCCCCAAAACTTGTATAACATCAATATATTCTTGAAACAAAACTGTGTTGACTGACACACTGATAGCTTCGCAGTGAATAATATTTAAACCATTGACAGCCAATATCATTGAAACATTATGTTGCCTAGGGTGAATGATCGGGTTTGGTGTTACTCCTCTTCTTGCCCATGAATGACTGCGAATCATGTGTAAATTAAATGCATTTTCATCAAAAAAAACAATATTTCAATAGCGATTAATAGGCGAGATTGAAGTATACCACCTAACATATTCAATACCAAGGTTTTTTACATCATTGTTGTTTCTTCTTTCATAATTTGGTCGAGTAATTTTATATGTGTATCCAAGATTGGTCACCCATCTCCAGACAGTTTTAATTGATACATTTACATTTAAAGCATATTTAATTTCAATTATAGTTGTCGTTGTGTTATAGTTTATAAGCTCTTTAATTCTTCTTCTAATCTCTTCATTATAAATAACGTGACAAGCGCCACCTCTAGAACCAGGAAGTTTTGAATTCGTTCCATCGTACCTTCTTAAAATTGATTGTATTGTGTTTCAATAAACACAATACAATCAATTTTAATAAGTATCTCAATACAATAAGTATCTCAAAACAAATTTTCGCTTATTTTGGCAAACAGCTGCATGTTTTAATGAAAATCTAATATCCTCATGCGCTAAATATTTTAATAGGAAATCATGGTTGTTTTAATTATCATCATGCATCTTTTAATTGAACATCATGGTTGTTTTGCCAATACAGTATGTGTATAAAAAAATATGTAAAAAAATATGGTTTTGCATCCATTTAAAACAAACATGACATCCATTCAAATTTAAAATAAATTCCATTAAATTAAAATAAATTAATATAATATTATTAAAAATAAATTTATATAATATTAGATAAATAAATATATAAAAAAGACCTTTTTTTTTAAAGCAATATAAAATGTTGAGATTGCGCATGCGTTAAATGTTTTAAATGAAAATCACGATTGTTTTAATTGAAAATCACATTGTTTTAATTGATTGTCGCGGAATGTCATGGTTGTTTTAAATGGTTGTCATGGTTGTTTTAAATGGATGTAAAAACCGGTAAATAGACTATAAAACTTATACCTTACAGATAAAAGGATTTCATTACCACTTCTTCTTGTGATACAATCTATTTCAAAATAAATTACAAACACTTCTTCTCCGGATTCAATCTGTAAATGTTGAACTAAAAATACTTCTCTTAATAACATAAGGATGTCTGTTTATGTAAAAAGATTCTATTATTTACATTTAAACACACTTAACAAAACTAAAGGACATTATGAATATTCCAGAATGTTACGCACGCGTACCATTATGTAAAAATATCAACATTGGCCAATATTAACTGTTTAACATAATGCCGATATTGACAGACAATTTTTTGCACTTTGGCATATTAACGATAATGTGGTAATATTGGTATCCATCTAGTCGGAATCACGTGACTTATTGCGCAACAAAAGTAACCGTATTGAATGTAGGGAAAACAAATCATTACACCTTAACGCAAAGATAAGAAAGCGCTTGTAAATAATGTCGTTCAATTATTTTGAAAGTTTATCAAAAGAAGCAGCAGAAAGATATCAGCGAAAATTAAGTCTTTTAGGTGATTATTTTTCATGTTAATTTACTTTTTTAAATAATTTTCGTCAGAATAAACGAAAATAATGCATAGCATTTTGACCGTTTTAGGATTGGACAAGTGTCCATATAAGTATTAGGATTGGACAAGTGTCCATATAAGTGATTCTTGGACTGAAGATCCAAGTCAATGGCCTTCCTTAAGTTATCATAATCTATATCAATACCTGATTAAGACTCCATGTAAGAAATATTTCTAAATAGTTGTTTATAAGTTATTATATATTTATTAAGTTATTATATATTTAATTCCTAAATCCTAAAATTATGTTAGTTTGCTCAGTGAATATTAATGTTTGCTTACACTTATTTTAAACATTCAACACTATGTAGGCATCTATTCTCCAGAAGCTATGGAAAACTACAAGTCATTGGAGGCTTGGAGGTTCTTTCAAGAAGGTTGGGTGCAAACTGTTGTCCATATGAAGATAAGTCAAGATATCATGATCTTAAAATGTGATGTTAGAACTTCTTACAGAACCACATCCCCTAATCATAAGCCTTGGATTGCTCTTGGTTTACTTGGTAATGTAGTGACTGCTCACTGTAATTGTATGGCCGGGTAAGTGTCTGGAGAGCATTTGACTATAATAATTTAACACTAAAAGTTATCTTGTTTTATGAACTACTAAATTTTGTTTACATTATTTAAATCTGTTGAAATTATTTAAAGGTGTTTTTGGATTATTTAAATCTATCCCAGCCGGCAAATAACGTTGAAATAACGTTGAAATATCGTTGAAACCTAACGTTGAATTAACGTTGGTTTAACGTTTAGAATGAAAGTTTTTTTCAACGTTGATTTATCAACGTTAAATCAACGTTAGGTTCAAACGTTATATCAACGTTGATTCGACGCAAAAAAACGTTACAATAACGTTGAATTTACGTTGATTTAACGTTTAGAATGAAAGTTTTTTTCAACGTTGATTTATCAACGTCAAATCAACGTTAAATTCAAACGTTATATCAACGTTAATTCGACGCGAAAAAACGTTACAACAACGTTGAATTTACGTTGATACAACGTTTAAAATGGTAGTTTTTTTAACGTTGATTTATCAACGTTAAACGACTGTAAAACACTTTTTCACCATCAAAATGTGCTATGTATGTCAAAATGTATATATGTATGTAAACGTGCTATGTGCGTCAAAATATGATCACCATCAAAACGTACTATGCATGTACATTACTGTTGCTGTACATTATCAAGGTATATTGTGGATATTAAATCTATTCATAGTCTATACTTAGACTATTTAGAACTTTTTCAGTTTAGTTAAAATAGCTAGGTATGATTAAAGAATGAGATAAAACTTGTTTTATTCAAAAATACATATTCAAATATTACATATATTTACATGTAATTGAATAAAATCTACACAAATTTCTTCTCTTTTCCACCACCTTTTTGAAATAAAGCGTAATTTAGAAAGTCAAACAATGTTCCATTAACCGAGGGTTCTTTTGGTCCATTGAATACAATAAAAGAAGCTGTAAATAAAAAAATATATTAAAAAAAAAACAAAAAGGGAAGATTTAAAAAATAAATAATCAATGGAAAAGTGTTACAACTTATGAAGGTATATCTTTTTCAACGCCATATAGATTAGTGTTCTTAAAACATATTTTTTCACCTTTGCTCTTCATATCCATCGAGGCCATATAACTTTTCGAAAATACTCTGAATTTTAAAAAAATATATAACTGTTAGTTGGTTATTAATAACCTTTTCAAATATTTAATTTAAATAAAACAACCTTTTTAATATATTAAAAATAAATTAATAATCAAAATATAAAACATTTCTAGCATTGAAAAATAATTTTCGGGGTGGCCACATAAAATTTTTATAAAAAATTTTATGTGGCCATTTATTAATGTTTTAACGTCCATGTTTATACACTTATGGGGCTTGGACAGGGATCAAATAATGTCATTTGTTATGTTAAATAGCATGCATTTTCTAAAGCAATTTTTTACAATTCCATGCACTTTAAGGCGTTAACCAGTTTTGCAGACCGAGAATGGGTACTTTGAACATTATACATCCATCAAAAATTAAAAAAGGAAGAATAAATGAGGAGCTTTGATCAAATTTTTACCTCTTTAGAGGATAATAGAGGATTTTAGAAGTGGTTTTAAAAAAAAAGGACTTTAGAGGATTTTAGAGGAGCTGCAGACACCCTGATTATAAATGAGGTAACTCCACCAATTAACTGTAATTGATTTATCTGTAAAAAAACATGAAGTAAATCTAATATTATGCTTGTGGAGATATATTATATTGTGGAGAACCATCCAAACCACACAAGTGGAAAATTTGCATCCAAGTTTCCACTTGTGTGCAAATCTTGCATCCACTTGTCAACATTCTCATTATCAATTTTTCTTTTGTAGTTGTGAATTTAAAATTTTCACAATACTGTTTGCTTTCTTTTAGAATTGAAATAGTTATACAAATAGTTATATATTTTGTATTAACAAAATAACTCTTCTTACCACATTATTTAAAAAGTAATAATTGTAATATATAGATGTAATACCTGAAGAGAATTTAGTTTTTATTTGTATAAACTTAAGCCAATTCTTCTCTGCATTTTAGTGCAGTCAATGCTTTGGTACCTGGAAGCCGACAAACAGTTTTATCACTAATCCAATCAGATGGAATTACTTCTTCTTGTAAATCTTCATTCCAAACAGCTCCTTTCCGCATATTCGATTTTGAAAAAATTACATGAACTAATATAAAATGAAGAAACCATAATATAAATGTACTAACAGGCCTAATTAAACTAGCTAAATTTGAACATTTTATAACCATGATACTTGCTAAACAATAATATTAGTAGACATTATAAGCAAAGATAAGATTTTCTTTATTTTATAAATTTATTATATTTTAAACTCATTTTTATTAATTTATTTATTACTCTATTATTCAGCAGAGTTCTGAATATATTATGTTCAAATAACTTAAGGCTCAATAACAAAGACAAATAATGAAAGAATACTAGGTTGCTAAAACATAAACATCTACATAAGATAATTATGGAATATTGAAAAAAAATAGAAATACAAAAAAACAAAAATACTCATTATTAATATAAAATATAATAGTATAATATAAGGTATATTATAATATATGACACAATAATATCTACTTTTAATTAAAATATAAAAACAACAAAAATTAAAAAAGAAAATATTTTGATAAATAATAAATTATCATTCCAACAATTTTCAAGACCAAAAAATAACTTGTAACTTATTTTTTTACTTATCTTCATCTAATAAACATTACTTATTTTTTACTCATCTTCATCTAATAAACATTAATATTAATACCAATTTTAAACATTATTAGAATTTTTTTTTTATCAAAAAATAAAAATATTACATCAGTTACTTTTTGGGCTTTTCTTATTTTACTTAAAACATCAACTCAATCCTAGGCTTTTTTCATAATTGAGTTTTAATTTGTAATGTTGAAT